TTTTTTTTTTGAGGCAGAGTCTCACTCTGTTGCTCAGGCTGGAGTGCACTGGCATGATCTCAGTTCATTGCAATCTCCACCTCCTGGGTTCAAGAGATTCTCCTGCCTCAACCTCCCAAGTAGATGGGATTACAGGCCTGAGCCACCATACTTGGCTAGCCAATTCTTGTATTTTTAGTAGAGACAGGGTTTTGCCACATTGGCTAGGCTGGTCTTGAACTTTGACCTCAGGTGATACACCAGCCTCAGCCTCCCAAAGTGCTGGGATTACAGGTGTAAGCCGCCTTGCCCAACCTGCACTTGCTTTTTAATGGATTCTTCATCATTTAATGTCACCTGCCCGGTGATCTGCCAGCCAACCTGCTCTTCACCCCCTCTTCCTCTAAGGGCTCCAACTCCAAGGGGTTTTTTGAGTTTCTCAAGCAGGTTATCATGACACTTGCTGTTGACATAAACTGGGTGTCCAGATAGCAGGTATTATCTTGCAATAACCAGGAATTCTTTTAAAATAATTTTTTTTCACTATTTACCAGACTGTGGAGTTATCCGAGGGATCATCTGGTTTGGCACACTGCCACGGATCATAGCTGGATCAGGCAGAGGACCATCTAGAGTAAAAAAGAGAAATTAAGAAGTATCTTTGCACCAACTGCCCTTAAACAACCAAACAAAAACTCACTGTTCACACAAATCCCACAAAATATATTTAATAATACCTTTAAAAATTGGGTGTGAATCACAAAATAAAGCTCTGAACTAGACAGAAACTTGAAGAAAATGTTATTTCTGGAATACAGAAAAATGTGTCCCAGTGGATTTGTTGGTATTCCTTTATGAGTCTGGGTGCTTTTGATGTTGATAGAAAAATAATGTAAAACATTTTTAAAAACTGAAGCTATTATAGGCCAGGCATAGTGGCTTACACCTGTAATCCTGGCACTTTGGGAGGCTGAGGTGGCTGCATCACTTGAGGTCAGGAGTTCAAAACCAGCCCGGCCAACATGGTGAAATCCTGTCTCTACTAAAAACACAAAAATATTAGCCAAGTGTGGTGGCGGGCACCTGTAATCCCAGCTACTCAGGAGGCTGAGGCAGCAGAATCACTTGAACCCAGGAGGCGGACGTTGCAGTGAGCTGAGATCGTGCCACTGCAATCTAGCCTGGGCAACAGAGCAAGGCTCTGTCTCCCAAAAAAAAAAAAAAAAAAAAAAAAA